AACCCAGTCGGAAGACGTGCTTGTGATCGGAGTAGAGCAGCTGGGACAAGCACGAGGGAGAGGCGTCTCTTTTGCGCCGTTTCAAATGAGTGGGATTTCTGTGCTTCATGTAGATATCGGGGAGAGAGGGGCAGACGAGACAGGGCAGGCCGGCTCCTGCGTAGACTCGTGCTGACCTCACTCCCGCCTTTCCCAGGGCTGTTTGGGGACGGAGCCCTTTTTGTAGACCGTACCTAGGAGCCTCAGAAGGCTGCTCGCGCTGCCTGGGAGGGCGGGGTGTCAGCTGGGGGGTTAGCCGAGGGAGGGCTGTGACTCTCGTGTTTCCGTGGAAGGTTCCGTAGGGAGACAGACCCCTTGTTCATACAACAGCCCACAGCCAGGGGTGCGCCGGGGTCACACTGCAGCCTGAACCCTCCGGTCTCTTTGGCCTGAAGTTGGAATTGCACACCTGACTGTTGTCCTACTAATCAGGACGTGGAAAGGCATCTCCCTGGGGGTGACGGCACCCGCTTCATTCCTCCCTGAAAAGCCACTGTTCCTCCTCGAGACGCCCACCCCTGTAGGAGTCTATTGGCACTATAGTCCCCCACTTGTCACCGATACCAGAAGCTCTCCCCCTCCCACTCTCCCTTTTAGGAAAGTCCACATCTGCCCTAGTGGGTTTGGCTCTGTGGACAGAGAGTGGGCCTCGGCCTGTGGATTGAAGGGTCCCGGGTTCGATTCCAGTCAAGGGCACATGCCCTGGTTGTGGACTCCATCCCCAGTAGGGGGCGTGCAGGAGGCAGCCTATCAGTGATTCTCTCTCATCATTGATGTTTCTCTCTCTACCTCTCCCTTCCTCTCTAAAATTAATAATAATAGATTTTTTTAAATAATACAAATAAATAAATAAATAGTCCACCTCTAATGCAGGCCCTTCCTTCAGCGGCCGCCTTTGCTCACTTCTGTCCCTTCAGCAGAAGCGCCCAGACTCCTCCCTGCTCCGTCCTCCTCCCGCGCCCCTGGCCTGCCTCTGCTTCCAGTGGCTTCCCGTGGATGGTGGTTGTGGGCTGTTTCTCAGTGTCCAGAGCAGCTTAAAGGCCTGTCCTCCTGATGCATTGTTAGGCCCCAGGTTCCAGGCAGTGATGTCGGCCTGGCCAAAGGAGAAATGCAGGAACCGTGACAGCTGCCCCAGATCCGGTTCCCGGGAGCCAGCCCTGAGCGAGGCAGTCACATGGGGGATCTAACAAGGAAGCGCTGCCACAGGAAAGGACGAGGGATTTGGGGAGCAAAACAGGGCGGCCTCAGCGGACAAAGCAGGTTCCTTTATGACGACGTCTTGGCCTGGCCCCACGTGGAAGGGGTGCCGCGGCACTGCCCAGGGAGCCGGGCGGCAGGGAGGGGGGCAGGGAGGACTGCCAGGCACTCCGTCTCTTCCATCCTCTGGGGAAAGCGGCCCTGGCAGTGCAAGGGCTTCCTCTGAAAACAGTGGCGGGTGGGTCCTTAGAAGCAACGTCTATAGCAACGGTGCGGGCCTCGGCCTTATGATTTCTCTAACATGTTAATATTTACAAAGAAGCTTATAGAGGTGAGATGGCTGTTAAGGTAGACAGATGACAGATGATAGATAGATAGATAGATAGATAGATAGGGTGGATGGAGATGGATGGATAGATAGGATGGATGGATAGATAGATAGATAGATAAAATGGGTGGATGGAGATGGATGGATAGATAGGATGGATGGATAGATAGATAGATAAATAGATAGATAGATAGATAGGTGGATGGGTGGATGGGTGGATGGATGTGGATGGATGGATAGATAGGTAGATAGATAGATAGGTGGATGGATGGATAGATAGATAGATAGATAGATAGAAAAACAGATGTGATGTGAAGCTCTGGTCTCTGACTTCCCAGGTATTAAACGTTTTTGCTCTTCCTGGTGTGAAGAGAACTTGCCTAGATAACCCCGTAGCTCATAGCAGGTTCTGTGAGACATAGAAGACATATCAGGGCATATGCCGCCCTGTTTAGTTGGCGTGACGTCCACCTCTTCTCACAGGAACTCCTCACTGTGTGTCTCTCTTTCCCGGAGGAGTTCACAGCTAGAGTCTGGCTGAACTCAATCCATGCGAGTGAGGTGCGCTCACTGGTAAGGAGTAGCGGGCTGTTGGGCGGGGCCAGGCTCAAGGTGCCGGCCCTGACTTTGAAGAGAGACCGGCCCACAGGTGGCGGATTCTTGCTGGGCAGCATGGAAGGTCACAGCAGCAAACCCAGCGAGGGAGATGTATAGTTGGAAGTTAGCCAGGGGAGTTAATGGGGGGAAAGGCTAAAGGAGGTCAGTGTTTGTGAGTAAATGATTATGCTGACGGACCACGGAATCTGGGGTAGGTGGGGAAAGAAAAATAAAGGTAGGATCTGTGAACTGGAAGTCAAGGAGTCAGACACGCTTAGTAAATGAGCGGAAGTTAGGGGTCAGGGAGAAGAACTGGAAACTGAGGCACAGCAGTGTTTCCCGATGACAAGGTCACCGACACAACCTTGGGAGTAGATAATGCAGGTGAGCAAGAGGAAAAGATTGCTGAGCTGAGGACGTCGAAGAAATGAGAGACTTGGGCGTTAGATTCATCCAGGGAGTAACACATCCAGGAATAAAGAGAAGAGTTGACAGTTTTCAAGTTTCTTTAACCTCCTGCCCAATCAAATGAAAACAAAGGGAAATAAAAACAAGGCCGGCTCTGCGAGATGTGCGGATGGGTGAGCAATTAACTTCCCTGCAGCGTCTATTTCCCTGGCTGCCCAGGACCAGGCATAGTGATTGTCTAAATAACAAAATCAAAAAAGAAAAAAAAAACAACCCTGTAGGTTGCTTAGTGTAAAAAAAAACCACAAAAATAAATAAAGAAAGAAAGAAAGAAAATCATTGCAGGTTTATTTATACTGAATATTGACAAGGACAATGTCAAACCTACAAGACTTCCCTTAATAATAACTCCGTGGCCCCCTGGTTCACCCATGAATAGCTGTGTCATTGGGAAGAGAATTTAATTCTCTGTAGAGAATAGTGGATGGCATTTCATTCTAAGTCAAGAAGAGAGCCTGCAATGGAGGCATGGGTGTGTACTCATCACTTCATTTGTGTGTGTCCTTGGTCAGTTGTACAAAGGGACGTCCGGTCATCTTTATCCCACCCTTCCTGCCCTCTCACAGCGGGAGTGAGTTTTTTAAACCCAGTTTCCTTGTGTAGAAAATGCAAGGTAATTCTGTCACCCTGATTTAAATAAATTAGGACAGAGCGTTTTTTAAGAAACAGTAACAGTACATGAGGGGACTTTTCTCTGGGCGTGGCAACACAGTCGCCCGAGACATCCGGCACACTCCACGAAGCAGCCCAAGGACAATGAGGTTCTTTCAAATTGGAGAGTCTCTCATTTGCTCCTGCAAATGCCAGCGGCCGCTTTTGGTTTCCAGAAAGACGCAGCTATGGAATTATAACTATAAATCAGACTAACGATGTAGGAGCCTACAGGTTTCTGAGGACTGTGGTGTCAGCGGGGGGCGCCGGAGAGGCGATGCTCACCCTCTGGGCTGCTTGGAGGTAGGACTGGCTCTCAGGCAAGCGCCACGGGCGACTCTACCAGTGGGCACACTGGGCGCTGCCTCACGAAGAAGGCAGCCCGGCCTCCACGCCATCCCCTGCCCGGGAGATTCAGTGCCAGGATTCCTGCGTGAAAAAGACATCCGTTTGGGGGAGAGAATTTTCTGAGTCCCTGATTTGGGGTGGAAAGTTAAAGAACAGGTATCTTCAGGCACAGTTCTTGTTGTGGATTCGTTTATTGGTTCACATCCACCTTGAAAGGAGGGTGTGAGAATGGAACGGGAAATGGACATCTCTCGTGGGGAGAGGATCACGGATTGTCAGGGACACTGACTCTGGGGCATGTTACCTTTCTTGTCTTCTTACGTGGCTCTGCCTACAGTATCCAATCTGTGATTAAGAGGGAAAGGAAGGAGGAAGTGCCCAGCCGGTGTGGCTCAGTGGTTGAGCATTGACCTGTGAACTAGGAGCTCAGGGTTTGGTTCTGGTCAAGGGCACATGCCCAGGTTGCGGGCTCGATCTCCAATAGGAGGCGTGCAGGAGGCAGCTGATCAATGATTTCCTCTCATCAATGATGCTTCTATCTCCCTCTCCCTCTCCCTCTCCCTCTCCCTTCCTCTCTGAAATCAATAAATATATATATTTTTTAAATTATTTAAAACATAACAAAGGATGAAGGCAGGGAGAGTGGGAAGACAGGAGCAAAAGGGGTGGGAGAAGGGCTGATCCAGGTGCACCCCTCACACAGTGACCCCTGCTTGCGCATCGAGCCTTCTCTAGCTCCCCTCTGCCCACAGTCTTGGTCCAGGGTCACCGACTGTCTTCCTGCTCTTGGGACAGTACCTCCCTCTTCCCTATCTCAGCTCCTCACGTCCACAGTTCCCTCCTTGGACTCCATCCTCCCTCCCAGCCTCCACCCCGGACAGGCCTCTGTCCTCATAGTACCCAGTAAGGTCTCTTCCCTGAGCCCCCATTTTAAATCAGGGCCCGAGGTTGAACTTGCTAATGACAGCTTTTCCGTTACAGACCTTGTCATGGTTTGCAGTTGGGCGTGTGTTTGAGCGATCGTGTGCTGGGTCTCTGTCTTGTCGCCTATAAGCTCCGTGGGAGCAAAGGCAAAGCTGGGGGCGGGAGGAGAGGGGGTCCCAGTGTAGCCCCCGTGGCCCACTTGCGTCTGCAGTGAAAACTGCCAGAGGGACAGATCGACCATTTGAGTTGACTAACAGCACCTTCATTGTTCTCTGGGCTCTGGCTGCCCGTTGAGTAACATTACTGCTGTCGAAGTAGGAGGAGGTGTGTTCTCGTCGATTCTCACACTCGCTGAGACGCAGATGGGTCACCCCTCACATACATGTTGAACCTGCACGAAGTTGGGCCTGGGCCGCTGCGGACCACTGACTCACAGCTGGTCTTTCAGGTCGGGATTGTGCAGTACGGAGAGAACGTGACCCACGAGTTCAACCTCAACACCTACTCCTCCACGGAGGACGTGCTCCTTGCTGCCAACAAAATCGTCCAGAGAGGCGGCCGCCAGACCATGACCGCCCTCGGGATCGACACAGCCAGGTACGACGCGGCCACCAAACCCGCCACAGCCAGCGTCTCCGGCCTGGCCGTTCGCAGCGCGCAGCAAACACTCACCTTGGCGATACTTAGAGCCATCTTGTTTAAAGCTGGATTCGGCCAGTGAGCTTACAGTTCCAGAATCAGGTTTTTCTATTATACAGTGCCTCTTCTTCTCTTTCCGTTTATTCCAAGGGTCAAATCAATGGAAAACCGATCAAAAACCCGGGAGTCTACAGCATCGTGCTGTTGGGCAATACAACATAACAGGAGGGACTGTCTTTCCCTCTAGTCTTTATTCCCAGCTTCTAGGATTTTCTATTTAAAAAACATGGTCCGTGCACTTCTACTTGGTACATATTTACATTCTCGTATGCCTGTCATTTTCCAGCACCGACCTGCGGGTATGGGAGCTGTCAAACAGGAGTTTAAGAGGCCACGTCCGGTATTGCCTTACTTGAAACCATGCTCAGTGCACACATTGCAAGAAGTGGATGTGATGCTGGCTCTTTCTTCTTTCTTACTTTCTCCAAATCCCCTCCGATTTCCACCCCTCCTGCCGACTCTGTGGCTGGACCTCCTTCTACAAGAGCCCACCGGCCCGCCCTCCGCAGCACAGACCTGCTCTTTCTGGATTTCCCATCTCCTCCAGCTCTCTCCCCCTGCTCCTCCGCGTGTCACCGTGAGAACGCGTAAGCTTCTGCACAAACACGGAGCAAACACTGGACAGTTCCCAAATCTGACAGGCGTTTGTCTGGTGTTAAGAGCCTTCAGCCGCAGCTTCCGCCCCGGGACCCCCTGACCCTGAGGATCCGCTGCCCGTGCCCCTCACCTGCCTGCCGATCGGGGCTTCACAAACTCCAAAGAAGGGGCTGGATAGTCAGAAATGTTAGTTCCATGTGCAGCTTTAGCCTTGTCAGCGTTAGAAAAGCATGTGGTTCCAGTTACATGGGCCCAAGAGAAACTAACCCCGCGCAGGGGGGCACTGTGCAGGTCCCTGCCCACGGGCCGCCAGCACGGAGTGCGGCTGGGCGCACTGAGGCCTCCCTGGG